TATATATATATATATATATATAATAGGGAAAAGTGAATCTAAGGTGACACCCTAGGCTCCCACCTAAGGATGCGGCCTATAATCACATCATTTTCTAATTGTAAGCTTTCTAATCCAGACCCTTTTTTTATATACACGCGTATAGGCACCTTATGGTGAACTACATTCTTAAAGAATGAAATAATTGTCATTATCTTGATTCAGTTATGACTCACGAGTCACGACGTTAAGTCTTAATTCTCCTTCCTAACAAGTATATCAGCACGTGAAAAGTGACATGCATACCACATTGTAACAGGGCTAAATTGCACTTAAATATCACAAAGTTTTCCCTCATTGATTTATATACCACCACTTGTATTTTATAGAAAAATATTTTAAATTGTTAAAAAAATTAAAACGCTAGTAACATTGATCATGCGAACGTGAAAAGTTTCACTCGAATGTTTCTCTATGATAAGTTACATGCTAATTTTAGAGCTTTTTAAGGATTAATATTTGTTAAAAAGTTTGCTGTTAAAATAGAGTTGCAATAGGTTGGATGCCCAAGTCTTACATATACGCCTAGGTCTTTAGTATCCCCATAGTGGTCGAGAGGCAACTGTGGGAGTCGACCATATGGTTAGTGCATTGGGTTTATCCCTGAAACGGTACCAATGGTTTAATATCCAATCCGAAGTTGAATGCCTAGAACTTACTAAAGTTGACTAGGTCTTTAATAACCCCGAGGATGTGCCTAGGACTTACTGAAGTCGACTAGGTCTTTCGCCTTGCGGAGGGCCGTCCTGGGGGCAAAATAATGAAATGGCAACATTGAGGTTGGGTGCCCAGGTCTTACGTAGATGTCTGGGTCTTCAGTATCCCCATAATGGTCGAGAGGCAACTGTAGGAGTCGATCATATGGTTAGTGTCTTGTGTTTATTCCTGAAAATGTACCAAGGGCTTTTAATTCAACCCTGAGGTCGAATCCCTAGAACTTAATGAAGTTGACTAGGTCTTTTACAACCATGAGGCTGTGCCTAGGACTTGCTGAAGTCAACTAGGTCTTTCGCCCTACAGAGGGCCGCCCTGTGGGCAAAATAATAAAATGGCAACCCTGAGGTTGAGTGCTCAGATTTTACATAAACGCCTAGGTCTTCAGTGTGCCCATAATGGTCGAGAGGTAACTGTGGGAGTCGACCATATGGTTAGTGAAAGTACCCTAATGGGGGTTGGGGTGAATATGGTAAATGCTAATCTAATCCGATATTGATGCCAAATTAAAACTAATAATGAATTATCATTGTAATGATGATATACACAAAAATATAAGCAATGATATACAATGAAACAATATGACAATAGGCGATATAAACAATAAGAGCAAGATGAAAAATACGCCAAAGTCAATCACAAACACAAAGATATGATCATAGGTCTTCAGTGTGCCCATAATGGTCGAGAGGTAACTGTGGGAGTCGACCATATGGTTAGTGAAAGTACCCTAATGGGGGTTGGGGTGAATATGGTAAATGCTAATCTAATCCGATATTGATGCCAAATTAAAACTAATAATGAATTATCATTGTAATGATGATATACACAAAAATATAAGCAATGATATACAATGAAACAATATGACAATAGGCGATATAAACAATAAGAGCAAGATGAAAAATACGCCAAAGTCAATCACAAACACAAAGATATGATCACGGAGTTCGGTCAACCCACGACCTACGTCTCCGCTCCTCACCTCTCCCTAGGCTTTACTACCAACCAACTCCTTTTGGAATTAACCCCGGTCTCTCTCCAACCACTCCTCTAAGTGTTCTTGTGTATTACAACGTGTTCAACAATAAGTTTAAATAAGAATTTTGTTCTCTAAACAAGTGAGAACGAATATTAAGCTCTCTCAATGAAAACACTCTCACAACCTAAATATACAATATGTGAAATACTTAAGCTCAAGTGGTTGTGTGTGTAAACAATGAGTAAAAATAAAATTAAACTCAAATAATTCTAGCTTATATAAATGAGAATCAAAATACAAAATAGCTACAGTAAGAGTTTAGAAAAACTTCTCTAAGAACAAAGAGAGATTGAGAATTGAGGATGAACACCTCAACAATGAAATTGAAATCCTTCTCTTTGTGAAACCCTTTTCACATAATCAAACACACTTTTGATCTTTAAAAACGTAAAACAAACTGCCCAAAACTTCTCCAAAAAAACTCTTTTGAAAAATAAGATTTGAGGACTATTTATAGCCTCAAAAACAAATAGCCAAAAAACTAGCCGTTACAGAAGCAGTACTGATCAGTAGACTGGTTAAAAACATCGGCCGCATGATAAACTAGTCGTTACTGTAAAGAAACCAGACAACCTAGAATCAGTCGACTGATAGGAAAAATCAGTCGACTGAAAGCACTGTGCTCGGTCGACTGATTGTCTTGATCTGTCGACTGATAGGACTGTAAAACACAGACTGTAAAAATTGCTCTGGTCGGTCGACCGGTGAATAAAATTGGTCGACTTAAAACGCTATTCACAAAATCCTAAATTTT